GTCTCCTTTACCAGTATCAGAAATCAGATCGGAAGGATAAATGGGGCAAGGTGTCAGCAGACTGAAAAATAATAAATTGTGAAAGAAAGGCACTACGATGTATAGATTCCTGCAGACAGTAAATTCCTGCACGTGGTGGCACCGCAGTGGCTCTATCCCCACGCTGGCACGTGGTAGCATCGCAGCGGGTCTGCAGGGTTCAACAGCCTGTAAGACTCCAGCGCTCCAAGGATGCTCTGCCCCGCTGCTCCCCGTGTGTGCACGCGGGAGCTGAACAGGGATACGGGAAGAGCTCCATTCCCGCGGCCTTGGGGGGAATTTGGGATACGTGGGCGTTAGGCGTTTGCGCCCAGCGTGGGCCCTGCTCACACACAGGGCAGGGCTCTGCGCGCAGCCGTGCTCCTCCGCCCCGCGCGCTCGGTGGAAAGCTCTGCAAGCAGAGCTCATCCTCCCGCTTTTATTAACGCTTGCTAAAGGAGAAATGCCGCTTTTCTTGTTTATCGGGGCTTAGCTGGGAGAGCAAATGCAGAGGCAGGGAGCTGCAGCGATACGTGCATTAACTGTGCAAACCTGGGCAGTTCTCCGCTGTGCTGGGCGCACGGGCAGCGGTGCAGTCACCGCGCTGCAGTCACAGCGCTGCAGTCACAGCGGTGGAGTCACAGCGCTGGCTCTGCGGAGCAGCCTGCTGCAGTGCAGCGCTCCAGCCACACGAGAGCATCAGGACCCCGCGCGTCGGCCCGAGTTCTACGGGCTGCGGCGAGTCCAGCTCCGAGACTGCTCCGGCGAGAGCAAGCGCCAAGCCGAGCGTTTGGGCGGTGTGGAAAGCTTTGCTGCTTCACTACACACCTGCAGTTTAAACCTGATCATTGCCAACTCTCTTCTAACATTAGTGCCATCGTGTGATAAATGTTCTCTGCTAAATTTTCTTTCTAGAAGGCTTAGTCAGTACTTACTTGATATTCATAATTCATTGTCCTCTTGAATGTTGAGTTCTTGCACGGGTTCTAACAGGGATTTTTATTTGCTCTCTACATGTTTGTGCCTAGAATTCTTCAGACAGAGTGAAATCAGACTTGCCATAAATAGCTGCCATTGATATATTGGTCTGGCCTCAGAACTGCCCCTGCCTAGAGCAGGAGATTGGATTAGATGAGCTCCCAAGTGCCTTTCAGCATGAATCATCCCATGACTCTGTGATGTTACATATTCTTATCATATTAAATGGAAAGTATTTCCTGATATTAAACAAAAGCTGGTCTTGGGAAAAAAAAACAGTCAATAAAGTGCTCGTTTGTTTTCCTGTGTTTTAGACAGCCCATCAGTGCGGCTGCTGGTGTACAGCACGTGCAAGGAACACAGTAAAAAGAGGGAAACGTTGACGATGACTGTGAGAGCAGACACAAGTGGCAGCAGGTATGGAATTCTGGAACAAGTACGTGAGATGGGAAATAGCATCTGACATGAAAAGTCTCTGAATATTGCTGTCTCAATCTCCAAGTGTTGCAAACCTGCAGGATAAATAGTGCTGTGAAATACGGTTTCCAAAAGTCTTTATAATCTTGATTTTCAAAGCTGCTTCAGGCTTTTCAGGGTCAAAGTCATAATGCACTATTTGCAAATGCAAACATTACCTGCTGACGATCCTTTTTCACTTGAAAAAGCAATGTTTTGCCTGGACTCCAGATCATCTTTGCCATTTCCTCCTTTAGGAATGTTTTAAAGGAGAAAGGCGAAAGAAACCCCTTAAAAAACAACTGTTTGTATTGCCACTCACAGGGTGCTGAGTTTCGTGGGCAAGGCTGTCTGCTGCAATGCCTGCCTTGAGGGGAGGAAGGAAGAGTTCAGGATGTTGCTTGCTTAGCTGGGTCATGCAAATGCTTCTAGTTTCTTTTTCTGCGGTTCCTAATTCCAGTCGTGCACAGGAAGCTGGTTTTGCATCCTGCTTTGGGAACAGTCCCAAAGGGAGACGGGAGGCACTGGATAGGGCCATAAACCCAGCTAGGCTCCTCTAAGGGACCCGAAATGCTCACCCCGACACCTGCACCCGTCTTACTCTTTTCTTGCTCTTACTTTTGTCTCCAAAGCTTCCCACTCCCACGTGAGCAAACACACCAGATCTCCTCCTCCTCACTTAAATTCTTATAAGGATCTCTGATACTCACCCAGGTCAGATGATTCCTCATCCCAGTCCTTACTGCCATATGAAAGAGGAGGCAAAGAGAAACCTAAATTACCCAATTTACCATTCCCCCTCTGCTTTCCTGCTGCTTTCTATTCAAAAGTCTTTTAATTCATGGCACATTTACTGATGGTTGCCAGCAAAATATGACCAGCATTTTCAATCATTAAAGTACTGCCTTTACTCACAGTGCTCCTTCCAAAAATGATTTGTTTATTTCTAGTTTTCAACAGAGTGGAGCTGGACCATTAACTTTGATGGAAACGACCTCTATAGAATCATATATTCTTAGTCACACTTTATTTCACATAAAAGAAACCTCTCCATGTGTAACAAGGAGAGAAAGTCATTAGAGCTATGGTGATATAGCTGCTAAGTAAATAAATTACTGTAAATGTACCACGCAGAATTTCTTGGTTGATGTCAGCTCTCATTTTTCATAAGCTGAGAGCAAGCTATATGTGAGATCTAAATATACTTTAGCGTGAATATTCATGAGCGTTCTGCTGCCACGGGAGGCAGATTGAAGGCGCTAATGACATAATGGCAAATGCAGCGGTGTGAAGCGGGGACGTGGAGCGCGCGGGGAGCGCCCGGCTGAGGGCACCACGGCCGCGAGGGCACCCCGTCCCCACGGCCCCCGGACACGCTTTGGCCAACAGCGCGCCTTTATTTAATGGTTGTGATTAATCTTTAATGCACATAAGATTAGTTCTATTGGGCTTGGATCCAGCTGTGCCCCCGTGCAGGCTCCGGTCACCGCTGCTTACCCGGCCGCTGGCTGGCGTTGGGCTACGAGCCGCAAAGGCCGCTGCAAAACTGCAGCTTAACGCTGTCATGGTTAGCTACAGGCTACTCCCACTGTATGATTTCAACAGGATCAAGACAGGCTTTTTACTGAAAACAAAACAAAACAACAAAACCTATTTCCCACCACTAAAAATAATAAATAGGATGGAGTTTTTTTGGCATTTATTACCAGGAATATTGCATTTCCACAAAGTCACCCTAAAAGTGCAACATACATCTTATCCGCAGCAAGAACTTCCCTTTCCAGGCTGAAAAATACAGTGGCACCAGGAATCCTGTAATTACCATGTCTGTTGCTTGATTTCTGTTGACACAACAGGCTTGAAACAAATACTTCTTGGGACATTATCCAGTGATTCCCTCGATTTTGTAGTTGCTTTACAGAAAATCAATATTTCCTGCACTGATGAACAAACTCATGCCCAGGAAACAGAGCTGCCTTGTACAGGGCAGGATCAGGTTAAGCACCGAGACAACAGAGACCTTCCTGAGGTGCCTTCCCAGGAAAATGGTAATAAATAACAACAAAAACAACAAGAACAACAAATTACAAAATGTATTATTTTTATTTATTGCTATTTTTCCATTATTACTACCATAACACCTTCCTGTATGACAATACCACCTCCCTGAGGACTCCTCCTCAGCATCCTCAGCGGCCCGTTAAAAACATATTGCATTTTAATAGCTGTCGAAACCAGGTGTGCGTCAGTACACGCCGCCTGCGGGAGGTATTAACCGACTGAAACAAATCACCTTTCCGGAGGCCCCTAAAACAACAGGAAATATTTCTGCTGGAAACTCAAAGCAGGGCCTTATCTGCGGCGTGATGGATGCTTTTTCCACTGCTGACAGAGCCATTTGGGGATTTATGGGCAAAGAGGGAAGAGCTTCCCGCATCATGGGAAACACGTTGGCACGACGCAGACATGGGTACCTGGTGTGTTTCCACATAATGCACAAAGTGCATATTGATTTTTTCTGCAATTTTCATTTTTTATTGCTATTGATTTCACATAGTCTTTCCATGCTCTCATCTCATCAGTCTGCTTAGTATCTGTTTTCTCTTCATAACATTTAAAAGCATTTACTTTTCCCCGCTAATATTTTCCATCAAGTACTGGCTGTAGTCTGGAAAGGAAACATTGCATAAGCTGTCCCTTATCACTGAATGTCCTTTCACCTCCACATTTAAGTGCAGGCCTGTTAATTGAAAAATAAATTTCTACTGGTTTTATTCCTACCAGCTGCAACGCTTTTTGCAGGGATATTTGATGGAGAACCGGCTCTTTTTTAGCTCCTCTTTTATTTCTGGAACTCTTAATGAAGTTCAAAGTATGGGATCCAAACTCCTACTCCAGTTAGGAATTCTGTTCTCACTGATAGATAAGGTAATCACATTAATTATATAAATAATTGCATTATATGAGCAATGAGCTGTAATCAAGGGGTGAACAGAACATGCATAACCCTGTAACTGGAAAGATAAGTAAAGCTGTGCTTTGGTATCACAGCCAGGTTCAGCCTAAGAAAGAAAGTACTCAATGCGTTTGGTCAGCTCTTGAGTGAGAATTGCTGCATGACCCACGGGGCCGCGACAGCCGGGCAGCCCTGGTGGTTCCGCAGCCGCGAGCACGCACACGCACGTACACATGCACACGCACACACATGTACACGCACACATGCATGCACACACACACGTACACACGCACACGCCTGCACACCCCGCCTGACTCCGTGCTTGCAGGCAGCAGCCCCGCGGTTCTGCTCCGGGAACGCTGTTCGTGCTGCCGTTCTACTGACCAAACCCACCGCCCGCGCGGGTGCTCGGGTCCTGCCATGCTGCCACCAGCAGCATTGCTGCTGCTGAAGCCAGGAGCAGCTTTGCTGGCACTGACGGGCAGGAGGGACACAACAAGGGAACAGCACATTGCAGTAACACAACAGCTTACGCACAACCTACAGCCTACAAGAAGCAATCTAAAAAGCTGGAACTGGACAGTGTAAAAGCTCATCCTGCGCTAATTTCTTTTTCTGTTCTTTGCCTCCCAGCATCTGAGTTCTCCTTATTCGCTCTTTTTCTGAGCAAGAGCTGCCTTACTTTTGCCATCAGCATTTCTCGGAAGTGGTCACCCATTAGGAAATAAAACACGGGATTAATGGCGCTGTTTAGAAACGCGATGGGCCTGGTGATGATGTAGACGGCGTTGATGACGTGCTGAGTGCACAGGGGCACGTCCAGCGCCGGTATCCGCGAGGCGATCCGCACGTTGCGCATGACGTGGTACGGAGTGAAGAGCACCGAGAAGATAACCACGGCCAGGATGACCAGAGAGAGCGGCTTCTCCAGCGTCAGGAAGGAGTTGTGTTGCTCGTTCCTGTTCTTGAGAAATATAACCATCTTTACATAGAAGAAGCACATGACGCAGAGGGGGATGAGGAACCCGAAGACAGTCAGAAACATGCTGTAGATGATGCTCTTGGCTGGGTCTCCCGAGCTGCCGTAATCAAGGCACTTGCTGTTGCTGACAGCGCTGTTAGGCCCCAGGAAGTACATCAGCGGCACCAGCTCCAGGATCACCAGGATCCACAGGGCCACGGACACGATAACGGCCGTTTTCCTTTTCTGCAGGAAATGCTCTCGGAAGGGGTATTTCATGAGCAGGTACCGGTCGATGCTGGTGAAGGTGAGGAAGAGGATGCTGGTGTACAGGTTGGCGTGCAGCAGGAAGCGGTTGCTGCGGCAGAACGTCTCGTTTGCCCACTGAGTAGAGTAGCTCTTCACGAGCATGGGGAGAGTACACAGAAATACCAAATCTGATAGCGATAGATTAAACAGGTAGATGTTGCCACTTTTCCAGTTTTTCAAGCAGAAAATGTAGCCAAACACAACAATAGTATTTCCAGTGAGGCCCAAAATGAACTCGAGGCTGTACATGGTGGAAAGATAATACTTTTCTAGGAAAGTGTCTATCTGCTGACAGTCGCCTGTCTCATTCGCAGCCTGTAAAGTTACAAAGAATAAGAATAATCATCAACAGAAGAAGAAGAAAGGGCATTGCCTTTGTTTGGTGCATCATTGCGCTGCGCGGTGGATACGGCTCCCTCTTTCCTTACAGCTGCCATGAGCAGACCCTTGAACTCAGAGAATCTACACGGACTTGGACTTGCAGCTATGGAAAAGAGCTACTGAACACAATGAAATCTGATGTGGGCAAGAAAAAAAGAAAAAAATTAAGTAAATTGGAGGTATCATCCGTGACCAGGTGACCTGCCCCTACGCCCAGTTCAGCGCTGACACAGGCGGGCAGGAAGGCGCGACGCGCCTGCGACTCATCCATCCATCCATGATCCATCCATCCATGATCCATCCACCCATCCCAGGAAGTCCCTTCCCCGGCACTGCGCATCCCCAACCACGTGCTTCACTCATGACTAACACAAAGTCCGAGATTAACACAGGACCAAGTCATTCTTAGCAATGTGGCAATGTCCCGGGGAGGCTTCTCCAAATTCTTGAAGAAATCAGGAGGTGGTGTTTTTACTGAATTAACTAAAGCATTAACTAGGCACTTCATGTGCCTACAGTAGCTATAGAATTGCACAGAGAACCACTGTGAAGCTGGAGCATGAATCCCAGCCTTCATTATTAATATTGCCTAAGGAACTTGGAGCTATTCCTGCAGAAACAGGTTGTTTCTGTATTTGTGATTCTACATCTCTTTTCCCCATAATTTTCTACAAAAAGTTCTTTCTAGAGTGGAATATCTTTTATGGCTGAAGAATCATAGTTAATCCAAAAGATACTTTAGTCAATGGGGAACTACTAACAAAATACAGCAAAGTTCTCACTAAAACTCTTTCAAGACAAAATTCACAAACTCTCATGTATTTTTGGAATTAACAATCTATGAAGTGAAAACCAGAATCACTTTTGACACTGTATGTGATTTATTTGATCACAGTTAGCAAATTATGTTGAAATAATGTTAGCAAATGATGCTAAAATAATAAATAGCCAATAAATTATGCTAAAGTGGTTGTACAATAACCTGCCCAAGGTCCCGTTCCATATAAATGCTACCAGGCTGAGAGGCTGCCCTGCACTATAGCAGATGCACGCCCATCTGGCAGCAAAAGTGCAAGCAAGGAAATGCCATATTGAGGGAACTTAAGCAATTTCAGTACTCTATTTACTGAGTATTTGCAAAGTTTATTTTCTGTTTCACTTCATCTCCAGGGAGGGCTTTCCCAACATATTTCCATCTCCCCTCCTTTGCCGTATTTAGTTTTTTTTTGGCTACAAATGCTTGCTCTTCCCTTTTGCTTGGAAGTACAGATTATTTCAAGCATCCAGCTCTTTTTGTCAACAGGTTTCTGTGAAGGAGTGTGTTACACAGGAAACCCCCCGTTTGGGTTTCACAAGGCAAGCGGCGCATTCACCCGCTTACTCAGTGAAGTCAGGGTATTCTGAGGCACAAACATTTCTAGGAAGCTGCACCCTTTGTGCGTCTGCCTGAAGAGTTTTGCTTTCTTTCTGCAGTTTGGCTAGAGAAATGCTTTCCAGCAACAGGGAAAGAAGTAGGACGACAGGTGTCTGCTCTTCAAACGCACATACAACTGCCTTGAAGGGTTGTTACAAGATAAAGATACAATTTAGTGAGAGCCTTTTATTAAAATATTGACAAAATATAA